ATGCGCACGCTTTTTTCGCTCACGGGTGTTCTGTGGTGGTCCTTTGTGACAGGGAAAGGGGGGTATGAGCATCTGAACGATTTGTCATACTGAATCTCTCTACGTTTAAGCTCACCTAGTTTTCCCCAGCCTTATCTCACAAAGTAAGCAACGTTTGGAGAAGAGTGAGTGATGGGTGGTTATTTTTGTGAGGGCAGCCTATACAGGTTTTTCCATAAAGCACAGGGACTGTGGCACATTCGAGAACATGTTTTCCTCCCTTGTGCTTAATAGTTGTCACAACATGTCCTATTGTGAATAAGTGAAAGTTAGTCAAAAGGTAGATGTTTCACTAAAAAGACAGCTTCTACAGGAGGCTGAAATACTACTTTGAAGGGTTGAGTATAATAAATGCTTATGAATTTAAAAAAAAAAGGTCAAAAAAGGCTCAAAATTGCTTGTATTGATATTTTTTTTGGTTAGTGGAAAGGTAGAAGGCCAGCCCAATGGTGACACAATCCCAGCTGAGCAAGCCAACCCTTCAGATGACACTGTTGCTGGTGCTGGGAGTCGTCAGAATGATCAGATAGTGCAGAAAATAGAGGAAGTGCTCTCTGGAGCCCTTGATACAGAGCTGCAGTGCAAATCAGGTAAATGAAAACACATTTGACAAGTATGTTCTTGTTTAAGAAGGTTATCATAGTGCTTAACATTTAATCAGTTTTACAGAGATGAAAAAGTACTTTCCAGTACTGCTTCTCTCACTGAACTTAATCTGACAAGTTGTATGTTTATTGAAATGTTAAGTATTTTTTGTCTACTGTGATTTCCAGCCAGAGATGGATGAACTAAATGAGTTAAAATTTGAAACTAGTTGTCATATGAAATCATTACTTACCATGCAAAAAAGTTATTTTTCTTTTCTCTCCATGACAGTAATGCTAAAATGTAGAAATTACAGCTATATGTATATAATTGTGCTTTATTCTGTATATACCTGCTTCAGGGTCTCGGTGAGGAGTTTTTACTAACAAAGCTGGTTCTGATGGACAGAAGCATTGTTTGTCGTGTGGTTTTGGATTGGTTTGCAAGGTTAATTCTAAAAATTGTCTGTTGGTAGTCAGAACTCTATGATCAACTGTTTTATCAGAGTAAGATGTTTTGCTGTTTTAAAATTAATAATATAGTTACCTTTAAAATGTAGATACTCAGATTGCAATCTTAAGAAATTTTTTGTAGCAATCTTATAATGTTTATAAATTACTGGATTTATTATGCTAAAAAGTTGCATGGGAGTATCTCTTTTCATGGGACTAGTTCTTACTGTAAAATTTCTGAATTGGGAGAGTTAGTGAGGTGAAGGCTTTAATTACTGCATTTCTAATTTTTTTGAAGTTGAACCATAGGTGGCTGCTCTGTGCTTGGTAAGTATGGTTCTTGAGTGATATTTTTTAAGAGGCAGCATAGAAAATTGTTTATTTCAGAGATTCTGTTTGCAAGGTTTTGAAATTACTTTTGCTTTCTTTTATGCACAGTGGCTTGTTTACCTTGAGCATTTTCAGCAGTTTTCGCTTATGCTGTACAAGCAGCACTTTAGGCTGACATCTGGGGGATTTTGTATTTTTGTTCTTCTGTCACAGAAGGAAGCTAGCATGGTGATAAATAAGTGAGACCTATTAACCCGAAAGTTAATAAACCTTAACCTATGGTAAACATTCCCACTGTTCATATCTGGAAAGCAGTTAGTGTTGCTGCTGGACAGCAGAGATTATCTGAAAATGCTGGGTAGAAAAGGTCATTTGACTCTGCTTCATTGTTCTCTTTCATTATATTCACAGCGGTGTTGGTCGAAACACTATTTTTTTTGCTATGCTGTTTATTCCACAAAAATATGTGTGCTTGAAACTATCTGGAAGACTTGTTTATGGAATCTGAAGTCATGTTCATTTAATAGTATTGCATTTAACAGTTTTTTTTAAATTATTTTGCATTGTTCGCTTCAAAGAGTGTGTTTTATAATCACAGACAGATAATAATTGGAGATTCCATATTGCTGCACTGACCAATATAATAGTTGAACGTAATGTGCAAGCAGACTTGAATATATCATATAGCTCATATTTAACAGAAATGATAACTAGTTGCATTTAACAGAAGTGCCTTTCTCATGAAAACATGGTACCAGATCCAAAGACGGGTAAAAACCTAACCCAGGTTAAATTCAGAGAGAAATGAGGTTTAGAGTTAAAAGAAGGTGATAAAAACCTCAGTCGTCGTCTTTTCTTTCCCCCTTGGTAATTGCTTTTCCCTGCAGTTACTTTTGTGTTTGAAGCAAAAGCTCTGTTAAACAACTGCAAACTTGCAAGTACCTGTGGTGTCTGCAGTCCCAGTCTGAGTAGTTGGTTGCCTGCAGTGTCTTAAAGCTTGTTTGGGTTTGGGGAAGTATATATACTGTTTGTCCAAATTAATTTGATGAATTTATTCAGTGGGGAACTTAATCAGTAAATACACTTAGATAACGTCTTAATGCACTAGTAATGTTTGGCTCACTCAGAAGTTAAAAGTGTAGTAGGGGATAATGGGCCAGCTAAATTTTATACAGTAAGCATACCACAACTTAGATAATTTGTCTAGAAAATGGGAGTTCTTGTTTCACTTCCATGTGCAGGTTGGTGTAGTTTAAAAGCACATCTCCAGCCCCCTGCAAGAATGCACTGTCCAGTTGAATACAGGTCGAAGTATATCTCAGCTACTTCTTGGAAAGAGTAATGTTTCCATTGGGGCGGTGTTGCTGACCAAGAAGATTTGGTTAACTTTTTGAAAGAAGAATTAAATTATGTTTACTTAAAGTGACTCCTGAGAGGAAGGGTAAGAGGGCTGAAAAAGGGAGTGTGTGCTATTTATGTCTGGTAGTTTAGTGAAGAAGGCTTGGGTTTCAAGTTTAATTTTTTTTATACCTCTATCCATGTCCTTGGTCATTAATCTAAATTTTTTTTAAATGTAGTTTTAATAACATTTACACGGAAAATATCATTTTTTCTAGATGTAGACAAAAATACTGTGAAAAATAGTACTCAGTCTACAAAAAGAAGCTCTACTGGTGAAGATGAAATTCCTAGGAAGAAATCAAAGAAGAACAAGAAACACAAAAGCAAGAAGAAGAAGAAAAAGAAGAAGAAAAGGAAGAAAGAGAAAAAGCATAAAAAGCAGCCAAAGGAGGCAAAGTTGAGTGCGCGTCATGGAGAACAGGCAGAACTGTCCTTAAAAGCAAGTGAGGAGCTTGGTAGACAAGCTTTAGGACTTGTTTCTCATTCAGGAACTGATTCTCAGCAATCTTCAGAAAATCTTGGAGGTGAGAAGGGGACTTTGTGTGCAACAAATCCTCCATTTAATTTAGAAGGCAGTCAGTCTGATATCCAAGAAAATGCTAGTATAACTCAAAGTAAATTTTGCACTACAGAAGAACAAATTCAACAGTCGCACGAAAGTATTTATCCTATAGCTACTAATGCAAGTGAAAAGGGTGTTCTTGTTGATACTGGAAGTTATGCTTCATCCAGCATCCTATCTGGAGTTGCTGGTAAATCTGAAATTCCGGAAGATTCAGCAGCAACTCTAGCTTCAAAGGTAGTAGAAGCTCTTAAAGGCACTGAGGAAGTAAGAAGTTTAGATAGAGCTCTTGAACCTGAGACTGTGGAGGTGTTGAAATACTCAGAAGCATCTCTGCAGTCTGGGACACCGGGGGAAGCAAAAGGGTTAGGAGTAACTTCAGAATCTGTGTCTTTGGCAAGTGATGTGACAACAATTCCTAAATCTGCAAACCAGGCAGGTCTGAATACTGTGAAGGTAGCTCACATGTCTGTGGCCATGGAAGAAGTGAGAATTCCAGAAGCAACTGAAAAATATCTACATATGGGAAATGTGCAAAATGTGGAAAGATCTTTGGAATTAAGTGTGAACAGAACTTTGGAACCAGCCCCAAAGCCCTCAGTTATATCTGATAATTTGAGAGTGATGCATTGCAGCCCCGCGGAGGGTTCAAGTGTCTTGAAGGCAGATATATCCTTGCAGCACCCACATCAAATGTCTACAGCGACTGCTGTGACCCAGGTGGAAGTACAAAGTGCCAAAATACACCTGGGACCAGAAGCTGAAACAAAAGTGAAGGATATTGAACCAGCTAGAATCTCTGTGCATGTGGAAAATGTGAAAGCTTTGGAAGAAACTCTGCAGTCAGTTGCTGTGGTAAAGCCCAAAACTTTGGAAACGATTATGGAACCTGTGGGTGTTTTAGGAAAACATGTCAAAGCAACTGAAGAATGTCAGCAAGTTGAAGTAGTCAAAGATGTGGAAGGTACCACTGTTCCTGCAAGAGTACAGAGTGCATCGGGAGTATTCCTACAACCTAAAGTCTGGACAGAAATAAGAAGTGTGGACAGAACCCAGGAATCTGCACTTGGTTTAAGAGCAACTTTAGAACCTGTAATGATTGCACAGAACTTGACAGAGGGTTTTAAAGGTCCACAGGCAGCTGCGGAAGTTGGAGCGCTGAGAGGAATAAAAAGTCAAGAAACAAGTCAAGCCATTCTACAACTTGAAAATACTTCAAAAATTTCACAGTCTACTCTTAAGCCTGTAGCTGTCACAGAGGCAAAAGATTCAGAAGGTTCTTCATTGCTGAGACCGCCAGAGGAGCAGAAAGAAGTGAGATCGGAAACAACTTTCCTCTCGTTGCACAGAGAAGATGTGAAAGGTCCAAGTATGAGAGATTTAGGAGACTCGGCTTCTCTAGGTATGGCAAAGATACAGGCTTTGGAAGAAGCCAGAATGGCTACCAGAGTCTTGGAAGCAAGTTCAGGCCTTCTTGCATTACAAGAAAGGTCAGAAAGGACACCGGAATCTATGATTGCACGTGTGAGCGTGCAACCAGTTAGAGAGTCTGAAGCTTTAATGGGAAAGGTGCATTTGAAAACCACAGCAGAGGGAGAACCAAAACATACAGAAACAGTTGCAGAACCTCCTGGTGCAAGCACAACAAAAAATTCCATCATTTCACAGTCTCAGGTCATGACACGAACCTTACAAACTGAGGTGGTAGGGGAGACAAAGAAATCCGAACTAGCTACCTGTTCTGCCACTGTAGAAGTGAGAGGTTTACACAACTTGTCGGAAGTTGGGGCAGCTGCAGAGGTGAAAGATGTAGAAGCAAGATCGAAAGCTTCACACTTATCAGAGATGAAAAATACGCAAATGTTTGTGGGATCTGAAACAGGGACATTGACAGCTGAGGTATTTAGAGAAATAAGGCATCCTGAAGCTGCTCCAGAAGATCCAAACAAAACAAAGGCAGGGAGCAAAGAAGCAGTACTAGAATCTCTGCAAGCAGGGACAGTGCAAACTTTAGAAACAAGTTCAAAATCTGTGCAGGAGCAAATAGTAGGTAAAGAAGCAGTATTGGAGTCTTTGTCCAGAGTGGAAGAGAAAACTGTGGCATCAGATGTAGTGACAGAAACACAAAACTTGCAAGGAACATCAGAATCTAAGATTTTGACAGATGTGAGAACTCAGGGACCTACTGTAGAGTATATAATTGCAACTAGAAGGACAAGCACAAACAGAAATGAGCACTTGCTTACCGATTTAAAAGATTTGGAAGAAGCTTCAGAAACAGAGAAAGCAATGAAAGCAAAATACTTGGAGCCAGCATCAGAAGCTAGAGAAGCAATGTTGCTGGAAAGTATGAAAGAGTCTGCCACAACAGAGTTGCAAGGTTCTGAAACAGTCAAAGAGCCTGAGGTACACATGAATGTCCAAGGTTTGGAAGCTTCTCAAAAACTTGGAGATGTGGGAGCAATGAATATTTTAGAGGACGCTTCAAAAGCTATTCCAGAGTCTTTGCACACTGAAAAGCAAGAACATCTGCAAGCAGCTCTAGAAGCAAAACCTGCTGCAGAATGGATGAGTAGAGAAGAGGCTCCAGAAATCTCGAGCACTGCTGAAATTAAATCTGGAGCGGTTCCACAACCAGACGACATAAAAGATCAGGAAACAACACTGGAACGTGAAGTGGCATTAGAAGTACAGTACGCTGAAGGGGTGCAAGGTCAACAAATGGAGGATGTGAGAGTTCCAGGTCAAGCTCAGGAATGCGAGATGCTAGTAGAGAAGGAAGATACAGATGAAACTCGAGCATCCGAACCTTTAATCGCAGAAACAGTTTTTAGTTCATTGCATGAAGCAGGTGAACAAGATTTGGCAGGGACTCAATCTGAAATAATCAGAGGCACAAAAGACTTGGAAGCCACTCCAGCTTATGTGGAAGAGATGAAAGATGTGGGAACAGCTCCTCTTCCCGAGACGGTTGTAGAGCTGAAAGATGCAGAAGCAGCCTTAGGGTTGGAGGCAGAAACAAAAGATTTGGAAGCAGCTGCAATACCTGAGGCTGTTGCAGAAGCAGGTCCGGCACTTGTGGCAGAGGCAAGCCAGTCAGAAGTCATTCCACAGGCTGAGTCTGTCAGAGAAGTAACTCCAGAGCAGGAGTCAGAGAAGAGAGATTCAGAAACATCTGATGTGCAGCCTGATGTGGCGGCACGAATGAGAGAGACTCTGATGAGACTTGAGAAAGTTGAAAAAAGTAGTCATAGAAGCAGCGATAAAAAACATGATGCAAAGAAACAAAAAAGGAGTCGCTCCAAGTCTCAGTCCAGGTCTAGGAAACGGAAGAAAAAATCAAGGTCGCGTTCTACTTCCAGGCGTTTGACCTCTAAAAGAGCACGTTCTAGGAGCAGGAACTACTCAGATTCCAGAAAAAAGCATTCCAAATCTAGATCCCGATCTGTGGAGAAGAGAGAGAGAAGAGTGTCTTCCCGGAGGTCCAGGCGCAGACGTTCCAGGTCGTCTGACCGTTACAGGTCTAAATCCAGATCAGCAGAAAAGAGAGAGAGCAGATTGTCCTCTGGGAGGTCCAGACGCAGACGTTCCAGGTCGTCTGACCACTACAGGTCTAAATCCAGATCGGCAGAAAAGCGACTGTCCTCCCGAAGGTCCCGACGAAGACGTTCCAGGTCATCTGACCGTTACAGATCTAAATCCCGCTCAGTGGAAAAGCGACTGTCCTCTCGAAGGTCTGGACGCAGACGTTCCAGGTCATCTGACCGCTACAGGTCTAAGTCCCGCTCAGTGGAGAAGCGACTGTCCTCCCGAAGGTCTGGACGCAGACGTTCAAGGTCTTCTGACCGCTACAGATCTAAGTCCCGCTCAGTGGAAAAACTGTCCTCCCGAAGATCTGGGCGCAGACGTTCCAGGTCATCCGACCGCTACAGATCTAAGTCCAGGTCAGCGGAAAAACTGTCCTCCCGAAGGTCTGGACGCAGACGTTCCAGGTCATCTGACCGCTACAGGTCTAAATCACGGTCGGTGGAAAAGAGGGGGAGCAGGCTGTCCTCCTGGAGATCCCGCCGCAGACATTCCAGGTCCTCTGACCGTTCTAAATCTAGATCCAGATCTTCAGAAAAGAGAGGGGGCAAAGAATACTCATGGAGATTCAGACATAGAGGGTCCGGTTCCTCTGATCGTTCAAAATCTAGGTCAAGATCTGTTGAGAAGAGGGGTCGGAAGGCATCTGTACGGAGGTCTAAACGTCAGCGCTCAAAGTCCTCTGACCGTTACAAGTCTAGATCCAGATCAGTAGAAAAAAGAGATCGAAAGCAGGCATCGCGGAAGTCTAAGCGCCAGCGCTCAAAGTCGTCTGACCGTTACAAGTCTAGATCCAAATCGGTGGAAAAAAAGAAGGAGTCCTCACGAAAATCTAAGCGTCGCCGCTCAAAGTCTTCTGAACGTTACAAGTCTAGGTCAAGGTCTGTTGAAAAAAAGCGCAAGGAATCTTCAAAAAAATCCAAACGTAAACGTTCCAAGTCGTCTGATAGTGTTAAGTCAAGGTCCAAATCTACAGAAAAAAGCAAGTTATCCTCAGCAAAGTGCAGTACCAAGCATGTGGAGTCTTCTGAACTTCAGGAGTCATCCAAATGTCTTGATAAAGTTCCTGAACCTTCTTTTGCAAGTGAAGGCAGCTCCTCCAAATCCTCTAATGGTCCCATGTCAGTAGCTTTATCTGATGACAGAGTAAATGGACCAGAGCTTCCTCCAACGTCTGAAAGTGGATCTTCCAAAACCTTTGATAGTCTCGAGAAATACTCCTTGTCTGTTGAAGAAACAGTGAGTCTGCAGCCTTCTGTGACATCTGAATTTGATAGCTCTAAACCACAAGATGACCAGGAATTGAGATCCATGTCTGTGGAACAAACACAGGTTTCAGAGCTCTCAGTGACATCTGAAAATGGGTCAGCTGAAGAAGCAGTGACTCTGGAGCCTTCATTGCTACCTGAACTTACAAATTCCACTTGCAAGTCGAGATCTCCATCTGTTGAAAAAAGGGGAGATCCAGAGACCTATTCAGGAACAGAATTTCACCTCTCTGCATCCCATGAAGGTGAATCGAGGTCTACCTCTCTCAGAGAAATAGAGGGTCCAGAACCTTTTCTGACACTTGAAAGTAGATCCTCTGTATCTTCTGATGATTACAAGATAATCTCCTCATCCTCTGGAAAAACAGAGGTTCAGGAGTCTTCTCTGATGTCTGGAAGTGTACTCTCTGACTTGTCTCATGGTCATGAATTGAAAAAAACAGAGCTTCAGAATTTTTTACAAGCACCTGAAAGTGAATCTTCCAAGTTAGATGACAGCTCTGAGTTGAGGTCTTTTCAAGAGGACCAGATGCAGGAGCCTGCTCTGGCTTCTGACAGCGGATCCTTCAGGTCACCTGTTGAAAAAGTCAGAGCTCCAGATGTTTCCCTGACGTGTGGTCCTGTTGAGATATCGCATGACCTCATTTCAGCATCATCTTTTGAAAGAAAGCAGGACGTTGTGCTGACAATTGTAGGACAAAGCTGCAAGTCTTCTGAAGTTCATGAGTCTAGCTCATCTGTTGACAGAGCTTTAGATGGTCCAGTGCTTTCACAAGTACTTGAAATTGACTGCGTGTCTGAAATGCATGAATCGAGATACCTGCCTGCTGGAAAAATAGAGGGTACAGAATCTTTATTAATTTCTAGAAGTGGAATTCCTGTGTGCCATGATGGCCATAAATCAAAACACAACTACTTTGAGAAAACAGAAGGTGCAGAACTGTTGGCCTCTGAGCTTAGGCGTTCTGTCTTCCCTGATGGCTGTGAATTGACATCCACTGCAGCTGAAAAACAGAAGCCTCTTGTCTCGGTGGAAAGTGGATTCTCCAAGTCTACTGATGTTTGTGAATTAGTAAGCACACCTGCTGAAAAACTGCAGGCCACAGTGACTTCTCTGACATCTGAAGGTGGCCTCTTCCTCTTGCATGATAATCATGAATTGAAGCCCATCCCTGCTGAAAGAGTAGAGGTGCAAAACTCATCTGAAGTGAAGTGCATTGTATCCTCTGATGGCCACAAATTGATATCTGCCGATGATGAACAACTACAGGTGCAGGAGCCGCCTCTGGTACCGGAAGGCAGATGTTCTGTTTCTTCTGATAGTTGCGAGCTGACATCCACTCCTTTTGAAAAAGCTGAGGTAGAGCAGCCTTCTCAAATGTGTGAAAATGAATACACAACAGGGCATGATGGCCCAGAGTTGACATCATCCCCTGCTGAAAAAACAGAGCTGCGACGACTTCATCAGATGTCTGAAGAAAGATGTTTGGTGTCAATTGAGAGCCAGGAGTTGCGATCACTCTCTGCTGAAAAGATAGAAGCGCAAGAGCCTGCTCTGACATCTGAAAATGAATATGCTGTGTCTTGGGACAACCGGGAGGTGAGTTCTAGCTCTCCTGAAAAGGTTGAGATGCAGGAGGCTTCTGTAGTACCTGACAGTGAATATGCTGTGTCTTCTGAAGATCATGAATTGCAATCTTCCCTTGCCGAAAAAGCAGATGTACAGGAGAGTTCTATGCAGTCTAAAAATGAGTATGTTTTATCTCCTGAGGGTGAGGAGGTGACAGCCAGCCTTGCTGAAAAAGATGTGCAGGAGTCTTCTCTGACATACGACAGTGAGTATGCTGTCTTCCGTGAAGGCCAAGAGTTAGAATCTGCCCTTGCTGAAAAAGCAGTTGTACAGGAGTCTTCATTAGTACAATACAGTCAATATATTGCATCTCCCAAAGGGCAGGAGTTTCCCTCTGCTCTTAATGAAAAAACAGAGGTGCAGGAGTGTGCTTTGCTGTCTGAAAATGAGTATGACATATCCCCTGAAAGCCGTGATTTGAGAGCCAGCCCTGTTGAAAAAGAAGAAATGGAAGCGCGTTCTGAAACATCTGAAAGTGAAAGTTCGATGTCCAGTGATAGCCAGGAGTTGCAGTCTGCTGTTGCTGGAAAAACAGAGGTACAGGAGTTGTCTCTGTCTGAAGGTGAATGTACCATGTCTCCTGAAGCTCAGGAGTTGCAGTCTAGCCCTACTGAAAAAGAAGAGGCTAAGGAAACTTCTCTGACATCTGAAAATGAACGTGCTCTGTCCCCTGAAGTGTATGAATCAAGATTGACTCATGCTGAGAGAACAGAGGATATGGATTCTTTGACATCTGAAAATGACCATACTTTGTCTTTTAAGAGCCAGGAGGTAAGATTCACACATATTCAAAACACGTGTGTGCAGGAGTTTTCCCCAGCACCTGAAAATGAACGTGCAGCATCCCCTGATGGCCAGGAGTTGAGTTTCCCTACTGTTGCAAGGGTAGATGTTGTTGAATCTTTGATGCTAAATGATAGAGCCTCCCTGTCCCATGAGGACAATGACATGAAATCTGTCCCTGTTGAAAAAATGGATGATGCAATGCCTTTAATGCCTGAAGGTGGATGTTCCATGTCTCCTGATGGCTACAGTGTGAAATCTGGCCCTGGCGAAGAAACCGGGGATCAAGATTCCTCTTTGGTATCTGAACGTAGACATTCCACATCTTCATATCAGGAAGGTCATGACCTGAAATCTCCCATGGAGGAAGAAGGTCTAGAGTCCTCTTTGACTTCTGAACATAGACGATCTGTGTCCCCTGAGGGCCATGACCAGAGATCTGTAGATGAAGAAATGGAAGATCGAGAGCCCTCTTTAACATCTGAACATAGGCGCTCCACATCCCCTGATGAGCATGAGTCAAGGTCTAGCATTGGTGAAGAAGCAGAATATCTGGAGCAGCCTTTGACAACAGAACGTAGATCCTCTGTGTCTTCTGATGAGCATGAGTCAAGATCTACTGCTGGGGAAGAGGGAGAGGATGCAGAACCCTCTTTGACTGAACGAAGAGACTCCACGTCATCTGATGAGCGTGAGTCGAGATCTACGACTGGTGATGAGATAGAAGATGGGGAACCTTCTTTGACAGCTGAACGTAGACACTCCACGTCCTCTGATGACCGTGAGTCAAGATCTACAGCTGGTGAAGAAGTAGAGGATTTGGAACCTTCTCTGACAGCTGAAGATAGACGCTCCATGTCTCCTGATGGACGTGAGTCAAGGTCAACCACTGGTGAAGAAGCAGAGTACCAGGAGCATTCTTTGACAACTGAACGTAGACACTCCACATCCTCAGATGAACATGAGTCAAGGTCCACCGCTGGTGAAGATGCAGAGGATATGGAACCCTCCACAGCTGAACGAAGAGATTCCACATCATCAGATGAGCATGAGTCAACTGGTGAAGAAGTAGAGGATATGGAACCCTCTTTGACAACTGAACACAGGCGTTCCCCATCCCCTGATGGGCGTGAATCGAGGTCTACTACTGGTGAAGAAGCAGATGATATGGAACCCTCCTTGACAGCTGAACGAAGAGACTCCACATCGTCAGATGATCGTGAATCGAGGTCTACAACAGGTGAAGAGGGTGATGATGTGGAGCCCTCTTTGGCGGATGAAGATAAGCAGGATTCCATGCTTCATGAGAGGCTGGAGGAACAGGACTCTAACTTCATATCTGAAAGCAGGCGTTCTGAGTCCTCAGAACGTGAAAAATCTAGATCCAAATCTATTGATAAAATATCTGACAAAGAGTCTTCACGAAGATCTATAAGCAGACACTCAAAATCACCTCTCCAAAAGAGTCGATCCACATCTGTTGAAAAAGTGGCAGATGAGTCTTCACAGAGATCTAGACGTAGACGTTCCAGGTCTGCTGCTCGTCAAAAGAGTAGATCCACATCTGTTGAAAAAACAGCAGACAAAGAATCTTCACGGAGGTCTAGACGTAGGCGCTCCAGGTCCACTGCTCGCCAAAGGAGTCAGTCGACATCTGTTGAAAAAGCAGCAGACAAAGAATCTTCACGAAGGTCTAGGCGTAGACGTTCCAGGTCTGCTGCTCACCAAAGGAGTCTTTCCAAATCTGTTGACAAAACAGCAGACAAAGAATCTTCACGGAGGTCTAGAAGCAGACGATCCAGGTCTTCTCAGCGCAGATCTCAGAGATATGACACTGAATCTCGCTCTAGACGAAATCGCTCCAGATCGGTAACTCGGAGAAGAACATCGAGATCAAAATCTAATCGTCGCTCTCGGTCCAGCTCATTGTCACGTTCAAGGCACAGAAGGAGGAGTAGGTCAAGGTCAGCATCAAGAAGGCGACGTTCCTTATCACGAGAGAGGCGTAAGAGATCTCAGAGAAATAGATCAAGATCTGCTGACAGAAGAAGAAGAAGATCAGATTCAAGAGATCGTAGAATATCGCTCAGGTTACGGAGCAGGAGTAGAACACCTATTCGTCAGAGGCGATCAAGGTCAAGAGGAAGAAGACGGAGCTCTAGTAGGTCACCAATTCGACTACGGCGATCAAGATCTTCAGGGAGGAGAAGATACAGCAGATCACCTGATCGTCGCAGGTCGAGGTCATCAGAACGATTTTCAAGCAGGTCACCTAAACGTCTTACAGACTTGGGTAAGTGATAATTTAACTTTCAGTAATTCCATGATGAGGTTATAACTGTTTCATTTATGCAGTCTTATTCCACAGCATTTATAAAGACTTTTTTGGAAGTCATTCTGTGCATTACTTTGAGGCAATGACTTCTGGTAGGAACTTTTAAGTTGGAGCTGTGTCAGTGCTCGGAATTTTAATGAAAGTATTCAGAAGTGGTTATATCCTCGTCACAGGGCTTTTATACAAAGGTAGAACATTGCAGTCTTGAGGGACACTTTTTGTTGTAATAATTAGTAAAGAGCAAGAGCTCTGTAAGAAACTTAGGTTTTTCTTAGTTTTCCTGAGAACAAAGTGGGCATGAAAGACCGTTTGAAAGTAAGTTCCAACTGGAGAGTTCTTGTCATCAGCTGTAGTGCTTTTTTATTTGTTTCCCTTACTCTGTCTTGCCTCTTGCCCATGAGGAGAATTCAATGGGAAGGGAGAGTCATTTCTAAAAATAATCCCAGACCCAGGTAATAGGAAAATTAAAAAATCCTAATGAATTGCATCTTTTCTCTGTGACTGGAGGAAGAGAGGCCTTGTAGTTTCCTGAGGTAGTAAGCTACATACGGAGAAAGAAGATTTAATTTTGAGACAAACTTTTGTACAGTGTGTGAGGAAACCTCCTTTCGTGGACCTCAGGTTCTAATCGTTCTAGTCCTGTCTCATAAAATTACCACGGAAGCCCCTCTGCCAGAGAAGTATTTTTGTACAGAACATGAGAACTAATAAGCATCCTTGAATCTGCCTTCCTGCTTTAATTATGCAGCAATTTGTATCTATATACTTCTGTTGCTTAAGCAGTAAAGGAATATTGTCCTTTCAGAATTTTTATAAGGTTAAAGACAGCGTTCTCTCTTTTGTTTGCAAACTGGCAGATCATATAAGATGTACTTTTTTTTCACTACCTATTTCAGTGATAGGGCCACATGTGCTTTTTTCCTTAGTAAAGCAAAGTACTGTTTTAGTAACAGTTTCGCAAGTAATTGTATTTTACAAAAGTGCGTGTTTTATTCAGTGCTCATGTTTCTGTGTTCGTTGGTTGTAAGTAGCTTTCAGGCTACACACTAGGGGACATGAGGAGACCTCCTCAAGACCTTTGAGTGCTTTTTAGAGATAGCTAGGAAGTGAACTTTGAGGTTTACGCTGTGTAGAAATGACTCAGGATTTCCAAAACCAGAATGAGTTGGTGAAGTAAAATAGGTGTCAGAACTTCTGGGGCTTGGAGGATTTTGAGTGCTGTAGTTTGACTCCTGTGCTCCATGTTATATTTGCAATTTGACTTGTCTGTTGTGTAAACCAAATTCTAAAAAGTCCAGAACAACTACGTACGATTTTAATTATTTTCACAGAACGTAAAAATACACAGTGTGAGTAAAACTTCGTGTTTTCTCTTTATACTTTATCTAGTCTGTGAGAAATGCTTCTTTATTATTAAAACAAGGATCTGTAAAACTAATTTTTCCTTAAAAAAAAAAAATTTTTTTAGACAAAGCCCAGCTACTTGAAATAGCCAAAGCTAATGCAGCCGCCATGTGTGCTAAGTCTGGTGTTCCGTTACCACCAAGCCTGATGCCTTTGTTATCTCAAAAGAAAGACGACAAAGCCAGTCAGAAGTCATCCAGAGATACTCTAAAGGAGCTCACTGAGGTAAGCAAGAACAACAGTATCAAGGCTGAAAATGAATTTTTTTTTTTTGGTAACTCCTAGGCAAGCTGTCATTCTGTGTGCTTCATTTGCACGTAAGCTGGCTTGTGTTAAAGCCTGTATTCTTTTGCACTGTTGTTTTTAAGTCCTGAAAACAGGCTTTTTAATTCAGTGGAAATGCATAAAATCCATTTTCTTTTATTTTTGTTTTTGATTCTGTTCTGATTTTGTACAAATTGGTACTTCTCCTTGCAGACATGTTAATAATACTCAAAGCTTTAGCTTCTTTTTTTTTGTTATAGTGTTGTTAGTTACTTATATTTTTACTTTCGTTAGAGAATTTCACATTGTTAAATGTTATCTCTGGGTTAAAAATCTAGTGCCCACTTCACATAGTTCCATGTATTTTAATATGCACTCTTAAGATTTTTAGAGCATTGTTGTTGAAATTCTACCTGTTGCAGTTCAAGTCTACAGATGGGATGTTTTTGTTCTGATGGTGGGAAAAAAAAAATCCTACTTGTCCTTTTACTGTAATAATGTCACCTTGTGCCAGTTTCTCTACATTTTTTTCCCCTGAAACCAGACAAAATTTGGAGTTTAAAAAAAAAAAGTGTTTGGTTGTTTTTTTGTTTGGTTGGTTTTTTCCCCTTAATTGCAGCATCAGTGTGACAATTCTGAAATACTGTTGCTGGAAAGAACATCTGAAATTAAGCAATGGCAAATTGCTGAAAAGTAATCTCTTAGTTGTGCGTGGGCTAGTGGAAGCAGAAGTACTTCGTAGTAGAAAAGCTGAGGTTGTGCAGACATCTTAAGTAGTTCTTCATGTAACCTGACCAAGATCTGATGTAGCCAGTGCTAACCTGGTAGTCCAAAACCTGCCCCTTCCTGGCCCATTTGAATGGGGGGAATCTGTTGGAGAATGTTGTTGTTCTGTCGCATCAAAATTGGCCACAGAAGCAGTCCAGGCCTTTGTCACAGGGTAGCGCAGTACCTGTTCCAAAGCCTGTTCAGCTTCTTGTCTTTCCTCTCTCCAGTGTAACCTTCAAACTGGGCAAACTGCTTCCAGTTAGTTGGGAGTGAACTAATAATACAACTGTAGATAACATGTTTTGCTGATCAGCTTTCCAAACAGTGCAAGGTTTTCCTTTTGCACGATGAATGGGCTTCAGTTGCTGTTTGGAGACATCTTAACGCACGAGAGCGTAGGAATCTATTTTAGTAACAGCTGATGAAAGCAGTGCCATGAATGTGTCTTGATTTTTAGCGATGGAGCTGCCTGCTTGCTCCTTATAGGGCAACAATCAGGTCACCAAACAGGTGTGGATTACAATGGTATGAACTTGAGCTAGAATCAAATCAAGATGATTTGACTTTTTTGATATTATTTTCTTAAATATGATGTCCTCAGATGTCTTGTGAATATACTTCTTGTGAATGGGGACATAATAGAAATATAGAATGCATTTTGGACTAAGTTACGGTTACTACTGGAAGACACTCAGTGCAGACAACCTCAGTCAGTAAAGACTTTTTCATCATAAAATTCTAGCTTCTCTAAAAAATGTTTGGGTTTTTTTGCTCCCGTGGAGGTTCTCTCCTCATTTGATTGCAATATGCCCATAGCAGCTATGTATTTTATATTCAACTCCTGTTGAATATAAAATGGGCATGTGTTGCACACCTGGCCAGTGTAAAAGATATTTCAGAAGTTATCGGAGATCTTTTGGAGCTTCTGTCTAGGTCCCTGCACTACCAGTGGAACTTAGAATTAATAACTATTAATTCTTAGGTTTTCCTTTGTAATAATTTCATGAGTTACACTGAAGTTTTTATCAGATGGCAATATGCTAGTTATGTGGGATGTCAAACAACCAGTGAGTTCCTACTCTGGAATGTTTGCAGCCTTATAAACACATTTTGCAACTAGCACTGTGTAGCAATTCTTACAGTGTGCTGCTGAAGTCTTATGTCGGTGAAATGATTTGCTGCATGAGTGCCTAGCAAACCTGGGTAGGTGTTTGATAATGCGTGTGAAATGTCAGAAATACATACATTGATGACATTGCTAAAAGATTTTCTCAGCTTATAGCTCCTGTTTTTGAAAATAAAAATATTTTGTGAAAGTGTTCTTTTTGCATGTTTTGGTTGAACGTCTTAAGTTTATTCAGAGCTGTCATGTCCCTTTTAAATTTATTTTGGTTTTTTTAGAAATGCAAGAAGATTGCTCAAAGCACTGATGATGTGATAGTGAACAAACCTCATGTTTCTGATGAAGAGGAGGAGGAACGTCCTTTCTATAATCATCCTTTTAAGCTCAGTGAACCCAAACCTATATTTTTCAATTTAAGTGTGAGTACTTAATTAGTTTTCAGTATTTTCAGTTGTGGTCATTTTAAAATAATGAAAGTAAGTTTACAGAAATTAAACAGAGATTGGTGATCGTAGTGAAGTTTCTCTGGGATGTTGTTGAAAGTCTCTTGCTACACTAAGAGACTTACCTGCAGTCTAGGAGATTGTGGTGGTTCCCATAATTGAACTGAAACTTTTTTTTTTCCTATTAATATCTTCACAGCTTTTAAAGCTTAAATAACATAAGTGGAATCATTTTTACTTCACGTTTTCATTGCAAGAGTATCAGCATGAGTTTACAGACAGAATTGGGAATTGCTTTTGGAACAGCATTGTTTTCTTCTAAAAGACAAGAGAACTGTAGCAAAATTCTAGGAAGCATTTTGAGGTGTTTTAAATACGGTGATGCCATTAGCTTTGTGCAGACTCCAAATCGTGTATCTGCTGCTCCAGTAGCTCTCAAATGTTCACTGAAGGACAAAAAAGATCTCTTCGTTTTGAGATTATCCAGTTAGGGAAGTAAATGCTGTATTAAGAATGAGGATCACTGATGTTGCCTGTTACTAAGAGGGTCTAAATGTCCTGTGAAGCCCCCTCCTTGGGCAGCTGCTTTTGACTCATCAGAGCTTGTGTTGATACTTTCTGAGTATGAGTATGTTGGAAGAAATAAAATGATAGCACATTTCTTTAAATGCATCTGAAATTCATGTATTTTGAAGCATGGATTAGAATTTGTTTAAATTACTATTGTTACTATTACTATTATTATTTAATCTGTGAGGGTTTTTTTATGCCCATGAAAGTCTGCTCTGATTTTGCAGGGTATAGAGTAATACGAAAATATTAATCTCCTAAGTAAAAATGCAAATACCATTTGTATTTTTGTGTACAAATATATATAGCTTGCAGTGTACACAAAATAAGCAGTAATGCATGCTTATCTAAGATAGATAGAAGGTAGAAATAGATTTATCCTTTATGTTGTACTATTAGAAGCTGGTACACCAAAACTCAAGAAATACTGAGACTCTGTACAGACTCCAAAGAGGAATGTTCTCTCGTGGTTATGGGCTGTTCTACTTATTTTCCACAGTTTTGACCCTTTTAGTATAATTCTTTCTGTTCTTTCCATTCTGTCTGGATTCTAGTTGTGTGACCATTCCCACCCATGTTTCTTTGATGGCAGGAATTTACCCAGTGTTGTGAGCTGTCTGGGCTCTCTCTCGGAAGAGGAACCTGTCAGAGATTTCTCTGCACTCTTAGTGTGTTAGGAATACTGTCTTAAGGAAAACAAGCTCTCAAACTACTTTTCATGCTTCTATAAAAAAATAATCAAAAGCTGGAAAACAAAAGGTTGCAAACTGCTTTCTATATATAGTAATCATGTGGATATCACAGCCAGTGTTTTTTGCTGCCCAGGATTTTTATTTTGGAGCTTTCCATTACAAAACACGTGTGACAGATTAAAGATTGTTTTCATCATGATGGGGTGAAGGGCAAGCAGGAAGGTTAGTTGTGCTAGTGAGGTTTTGTGTATTGTTGGCTGCTGAAGGAATTTTAGCTTCTAGGTGTTTCATCTTCTCTTACGTTGCAATTTGTTGCTCACTTACGTGTTTTTAGGGCTGTGCCAAAATGATTTGTTAAAAAGGTTTTTGGTTTGATGTTAGTAGGAAGGATGACTTTTCTGAAAACTTAATTCCAAGTGTATGCAATAAGTTGTTTCTCAAAGGCATATTGTGAGCGTTGTGTGTTTTCAAGTTCTAACTTTTTCTCATTTTACTTCTTTAAGACTCCCAGCATAAAACCAGCACCACCACCACAACCAAAAAATCAAGTCAGCCTGTCAAAGGAATTTCCTGTTTCATCTGGGTCTCAACATAGGAAAAAGGAGGCAGATAGTGTCTATGGAGAATGGGTTCCAGTTGAAAAAGGCAAAGAAGATAGCAAGGATGATGTTTTCCCCAAACCAGCCATTGAGGTAAGGAAGGGAAGGAAAGCATATCATATAAGAAAACCAAAACCGTTACCTGGTCAGCCTGGTAGCAAATCACAGTCTGTGAAAAAGAAACGCTTACAGAAAAACCCCATGTAGTATCTAATACTTCAGTTACCTAGTTACTGAACTGCTGGTCTTCAGATGCGGTTGCCACGCTCGCATGGACAATGATGAAAGCAACTTACATCCATACTGTGTGCTTTTGTCAACTAGTGACTTTGACTCTATAGAATTTAAACTTTTGCTTGAAGATGAAAACCAAGTTTCATGTCTAGTTTTCTGCGGAGATTAATATGCTTTCATAGCTCCAAATTTAATAATAATTAAAATTGTCTACCACTCCTAGAGCAGTAACATTGCACTGAAATGTAATCCATTAAAAATAGACTTGGAAGTAGTTTCTAAAGCTGCTATTTCATCTGGATGTGTCTACTATTTGAGCATTACAATAGTTGTCTTCCATGTGGCCTTCCAAAGGAAAAAGTAATTGTATGTATAATAGCCTAAAAAAAAGCAAATGTTTTTTCCCCTTGAAATGTCTTCAGAAGGATATTTTGTGGGGTTTTTGTAATTAAGTAAATTAAGTATTTAAGGCAGATGTAGATTCTTCCATGTTGGTGTTAACCTCACTCCATCTGAAGACTCGTTCTCAGACCTTGCAAAGCAAATAAACAACAAAGCCTTGGCATCAATTTCTGATGAAATATCTGCATGGTGCAGTTTGTTTTTCAAGAACTTTGTAAGATTGTACAGTTCACTTCCTGAAACACGGAAGGTGTTTCTTTCTGTGTCTCACAGCACCAAAAGCACAATGCGTACCACTCTTTCAGCAGACATTTTCACGGTATACCTCCGAGTTTGATGGTCAGGCTCCCAATTAATTCATTGTTCCCTCGGTGCAGATGGTAACCTTTGCTTCGTCTTTGTCGTGAACCACTAAGACAAACATTCTGAAATCTTTGTGCAGAATGTCATTCCAAGTCACTAAGTGTATCTGTCAAAAGTTCAGAGCGTAGAAACATTGTATGACTAACATTTGGCCGTGTTTTTACCAGGTGATAAAAAGACATGTCCTTCAAATGGTTTATGATATGCTCGTAGTTCGGGTGAGCTCTGTGGATGTCTGCATCCAGGCTGCAGGTGACGCTAGGCTGGTGTCTTTGACAAATTGGGTTGGCTAAGCACTGATGGTTTGTGTACTGATGATGTAGAAGAGGCCTTAATTGACATTGGAGTAAATAATGAACCATAAATTTATTTCCTTTCTGTCATGTGTACATTTCTAAATGCTTGTAACTATGTTGTCTGTTTTTATATTTTGTAAATAAATATTTTTATTTGCATTTACCTTAACTTGGCTTGTGTTAAGGGTGATTTCAAGGGTCATTAGCTGACAGCAGAGCATACCATCCCCTTGGATTTGGCAATCCTTAATTTTGGCATACAGGAATACTCTTGTAGTAGCAGAATTCCTGTATGTTTCTCCAGGGAGTCCGAAAAGTAACAGTGCTTCTCTGCTTAATTTTTTTAATGTTTATGAGGACTGGTTGTGTATGAAACGGCCTCCTTTGAGCCAAAGAAGTCAGTCAGGCTCCCTTGCTGTTGGAATAGGGTAGTTGGGGGAGTGCGCTTGGATCCTCAGGAAGTTTGATAGATAATTTATCTCCCTTCACCATTTTTAGTTTTGAAATCGGATAGTGACAATTCTGATGCAAGTCTACATGGACATGAAAAAACATGTAATTTGTTTCATTGTTATGTTTCTATTCAAGTCACACAATTAACTACAGGAGTAAGCAGTTTGAAATGGCCCTGCTAATATGTTACTAATCGTTTTAATAAAACGTTATGTTCTTAATATAGTTGTCTGTGGTAGTAGGAAATGGGGGGAAAAAGTCTTGAGTAATCTGAAGTAACAGCATGTCTCTGGAAGCCAGAGAAACCTGTGAGAAAGAAGCTATATTTAAAAGGCTGAAACTATAGAGTTCAAGCATTTTATTTAAGTTCGGAATATGCACAGGTGACTGTTGCACAGAGAAACTGTCAAGGTCTAAAACCGGAGTAAATACATTTGATGTATCAGTGGGCCTATGAAGTCTGTTAAAAATTCTTGCTTTCCATTATCAGCCTCTTCCTTCTTGCTTAGTATTTGTGATTTGTGTCTGTAGGGAAGAAGTTATTGAAAGTCAGGATTGGAAGGGCAGAATTCTTAAGGGAGAATAGCATGCCGAATTTGAAACTGTTTTACCTTTACAAAATAATAACAACTTTTCATACTTCAAGCAGAGACTTCCCCCCCCCCCCCAAGATCCAAAGCTGCCATCGAGTGTCTTGACATAATACAAAGCCAGGATGGTCTCCAAAAGGGTGACTGGCCATGTGGGCAAAGTGTGTGGGAATTCTAACTAACCAGGGTATCTACTAGTAGGCCCCAGTCCGGTAAAGCACTAAAGTACACATGTATGTTTAAGTATGTGAGTGGTCCCAATGTGGTTTCAGTGGACTACTCGCATGCCTATGTGTATTGCTGGATTGAAGCTTTTGGTGAGTAGAATAACTTTTATCTATCTCCTAAACCAGTTTCACAAACACAACGTTAAAAAATTACTTTAACTATGTAAGGGAAACTTACTAACTCACACAAGTGTTTTTTTTAAATGGGCATTCTTTTACATACCTGACTGTTATGTTAGGTGATTGTTAGAAAATCTTCTAATTCTTCTTGTGCCTTGTTTATGATCTGTGATTTTTGTCAGCTGGAACAATAAATAGACACTGAAGTCAGTTTCATAGACACATCGAACTTCTGGGATTTTAAGTCTGCGTTGGTCAGTGCTGGATGTTTCCCAACGGAAGGACTTCTTGTCCTAAACAGTAAAAAATAAAATAAGTCATAAAATAAGATTTAATAGTCAGAGTACAAAAATAATTGCTCTGCTTTTTTGCAAATATAGATGTTGATATCTGTCTCTTACTGTTTTTCAGTATTTACTAAACTCTTGACCTGGTTCCTGCGGCAGGGATTTTGTGGATTAACTGTATTTCTGTTCAGCAGAGTCAATATTAAATCAGTTTTGGTTTCTTTTATTGACCCTTTATTCTAGTATAATGTGCGAGAGGTTAAGGTTGCCAGATAACAAAAGATAGAAGTCTTTTGTAAAACAAATTAAAAAATTTAAACCACCACCTTCTATTTTGTATATGTCACGTGCTGGTTAGATTATTGGGTTTCTTCTGTGCTTCAAACAGTTCTAGCCCTTTCAGTCTCCTTGACATGCTCATCCAAAGAAAATTGCTTGTCTCTGAGTACTCTTCTTTTCTCCTTCTAAAATGGAATGATCCATGAAATACATATCATCTGAAGAACAAGGCACAAGTAATTTTGTAAAAATAGCCGTGTACTAGCCATAATTTCTTATGTCTTTATGTCTCCAGATGTTTTAAATTTCTCACAATTGCTTTGCACATAGAGTAGAGGTTTGCATTGAACTTGTTAATTTGCTCTATATTTTTACCCAAATGATTGTGATTTGCGTCAGTTAGTTTCAAATTTATTTGTCTTACTAGTTCAGCAGCACAGATCTAAATAATCCTTTCCAAAACAGTAGATTTTATGAACTACCAGTCTGGTTTTACTTTTATGCAAGTCTGGTTTAGGCTGAAGATTAGATTTAAGATACCAAGTTCATGGAATACATGTGATCCTTGCTATAACTTCTTTAATTCTTAGCTAAATTACCTTTGATTCTGTTGGTTAATAAGATTCCATTGAACAATAACATGTTTCTCTAAGTACTACACATTAGAACTGTTTGTGACCAGTATAGTTCTCTGAAAAGAATTTGTTTGATATTTTGTATGTACAGGTGATACTAAATTATCAGGGTGTTACACATTACCGTCAGATTTTCTGTTTGTTTTGGAAAGCCTATGTCGTTTATACTTAACAAATAGTCACAGGAGTTTTTTCACTTTGCCTGTTTGGAACCAACTATTTGGTGCGTTAAACAACTTTGTAGTATTTGAAGGATTTGTTTCACAACAGCTTTTTTCCAGATTGAGTGGGTATTACTGTGATCTGATGTATTTTTAAAAGTAATTTTTTTCTTTTTAGTGTGTGGACATAACTACAGCTATGAATGATCGAGCCATCGCTCAGAAAAGGCTTAATGAGAACACATTTGATTTAGAGGCGATGTGCATGTTAAATCGTGCACAGGAGCAGGTATGTTGCACTTCCAAGTTCATCAAAATGCCAATGACAAAGTCAATATTTACCTTTCATACCAGCTGATTTATTTTTTTTCATACATACTTAAGTACAGGGTTTTGGAATCCCAGTTTATGGGCACAAATTGAAAAATTCTGCCTGTATTTTACACTTCATAATGCTGATTTTGAGGATAAGCACCCCATGAACTTGCTAGACTTTGAGCTCATATATCAGGGTTAACACACAAAGATGCTTAGCTTTTTGGAGCCTCTGCTTTCAAAGGAGTGGCGATGAACACGGCGCTGAACTGAAGAAATCGAAAATTGCCAAGAAGCAGCAGAGAATTGCAAAGGAAAAATGTATGAGTTTTTATTTTGGTCTTACGTTTGATTTTCGTTTTGTAGATTGATGCCTGGGCTCAATCAAACTCCATACCTGGCCAGTTCACAGGAAGTACTGGAGCGCAGATACTGTCCTCGGATGAGCTGACCAACAGTGGTCCCCAAGCATGGATTAGAAAGGTAGAAGTTACGCAGTCGTGCTTGTCTAATTACCACATTTTACATAGCTGTGGAAGTATTGGAAAATGCAAAATATGTGCCTTAAAAACCTGTGGTAATGCATGTGTCGGATACAACAGGTTGAGTTAAATCGTTGTCCTTGATCAATTTAGATACTTGCCGCTGCTGTGTTCATTTTATTGGACATTAAGGTGCTGCTCATGACATAGAATACTTCAATAAGGTGTACGTCTGGTATTTGAGTCAGATTGGCTCATATATACTGTTGCTTTTCACTGAAATGACATCCGTGATACCGATATGGTTGCAGTGGTAGGTCCATCACCACTTTTCCCAGGATGGAAAATGATCAGGCAAGGTTTGATCCTGATGTTACTGAAGTCGGTGATGTTTTGGCATCAACTTCAGTGAACCAAGTTCCAAACGACCGGTTTGTTTGACTTGGTTCTATCTGATGTTTACTTTGCCTCTATTATCTCACCAGGGCTTTCTGGGAGCCAAAGATTTGGAGTATTAAACCAGAAGTCACAGTTGGGTTAATAAGTTGAATATCATCCTACAGGGAAATAGTTACTTCTTGCTGCGGAGTAATACTGGCTTATTTTTGGGGTATGGTGCGTCATACATACATGCGTTTTTATAAGTTTAATAATTCATGCTTCATCTTTGAAAATTATTACTGAACTGGTTGTCTTTCAAGAAGTAGAACTGAGGAATTCAAGCAATATCCACCTTTCAGGCAAAAAGAAAGAGTTACGACGGTCTGTGTTGCAAATTATGTAGCTGAATATATGCTGTATCTGCGTATCCTTCCAGAATACAGTGTTAAGATGACCCTCAAAGCTAGTAGATTAGGTTTGAGGCTGAAGCAGAATTTTTCAAAACTTGGAGTAAACTGAACACAAAAGTCTGGAATTACAGCACCCTAAAAATAGAAATATTTTTGCTAAGATTCGCTAACTTGTTTTTCCATTTTGCATAGCCAAGCAATACAGCGAGCCAGGCAACAAAGAGATCCAAGTTACTTGCTAGATGGGAGTCTTTTGGGCTCTTCTTAGTATTAACACACAGCACACACGATAAAGTCTTATTTTAACAATTATTAACTTCTGAGATTGTGCCAAAATGCTGACTTTGGTGATTACAGTAATTATCCCTGGCAGAGGAAGCCTGGAAGTCTAAAGCACTCAACAGGGATGTACTGGTGAGAAAAGGAGAGCTTTTCCTCCATGAGGCTTGTGAAGCAGATCAGCGAGCCTAAGAGGGTTCTCCCTTTCTGCAATACCTTGAGTGGGTTCTCAAGGCAGCGGAAAGGCAGCATCTCTCATCATCTCTTTCCTCATCCCGTTTTCATTCCTTGATGTTCTGTGGTGATCTTCTGTGCCTTACAGTAACAGGAGTGTCCGCTAACAAAAATTAAGTGGAGAAGGCAAGTGTGTCTTCCCTCAGTCTTCTAACTTCACTCTGTGATCCACTTCAAATAAAGAAAAAAAACAAACCAAAAATCTGCAACAAAACGCTTTATATGGAGAATGTGGGAGAAGAGTCTGGTCTCTGGCTTGTGGACACGACTGCTGTGAGGAGCAGAAGCCATATTGGAACATTTTGTTAAATCTAGAAAAAAGAGTGAGCCAGCAGAAGCGCTCCTGTCCTTCCCATAGCTGTCAAAATGTAGTGGTTTGCAGTAGTAGGCATCCTCCCTAGCAAGCGTCACGGGGTTTGTCAGAAAGGAGGCTGCTACTGGAAACAAGAAGAGCTGTTGAGTGAAGAAGATGAGGACGCAGACTTCTTTCCTGCTCTGGCATTCCTCAGCTTGACTTCTTTTGCTCTTTCCAGGTTCCATATTTGCACGCACATTGCCATCAAACTCATGAGACGCTCAGTAGTTAGTCACGTGCCCTGCACAAACTGCACTAGGGGCTACGCAAGACTTGCCCTTTAAAAATTTTTTTTAGGAGCGGTGGGGCCTGTGAAAACCTTCACCAAACTTAGGTGTGATGAATTTAATCTGGAGTCACATCTTGTGCTTAAGAGAATGATTCCATGGGAAAAAAGCGAAGTAGGGATGATGGGTTATGAATGCATGTTATCTTTCTCAGTGACATGAATGCAAACCAACCATGAAATGCAAAGTACAGGTTGTATTTTACTGAGGCACTCGAAGTTGTGTAACTTGGTTCCTGTTAATTATGCAATATAGCACTGACAAGTCAGACTTGCACTCCCTTTTTTGTCCTAAGAAAATGCATTTTAGCATTTAAAAAACCCTAGTATTTAATTTTTCGTCTGCTAGAAGGACTGTGGAGTTTCCTGGGGTATGTTGTGTGTGTAAATTATTGCACATTTCTGACTGAAAATGTTGTTTACTGAAGGCGTTTTGCTTGGGAGATTGCCATAAGCAATTGCCATAAGAGGACTTCGTGGACATGCAATGGTTAGCAGAAACAGGGCCCACGTCAGCCAGTTATTTGTGTATCATTAAACAAAGAATTAGAACATCTGCAGACACTGTGCTTGACAAAGAGAGCACAAAATGAGATAGATACAACAAAATGGAAGAGTGGGATCAAGAGGGGATAAGTACTTGGGACACTTGCTTGATAAGCGCTCTCTTCACTTTGCATTTCTTGGATTTCAGCTTTTTCTTTGTACTGAAAAATGACTCTGGAGAGGTAATATGTACTCAAACCAAAACATGCCTGCAGTTTCAATTTTATCCCAATGAAGTTTTGAGGGAATTAGTTACTGAGGGGGTGAACGTGGCATACTTGATTTATTGACATACCAGTTAGACACATGACTTACTTTAAGTAATGTACTAATTCGCAATGTTCATGCATAGGGTTCTGAGCAGTATTTGTGAAGGAATAATACGTTGTTAGGTTTCATGTATCACTAAAACAGATTTATGAACAATATTATCTGCTTTTGAAAAGTGGTTTCTGTTTCAGTTTATCATCATTGGTGTAATCAGTTCACAAATACAACTTGTTTTGGAGCTTTCTTCTTCTTTCTTCTTATTCTTAACAAACATACAATGCTGCTGAACAAATGTTAAATCAGAGAAGTAGTCAAATTTCCAAGCAAATTCTGTTGAGGTCTACTTACTCAGACTTTCCCAGAGTCACCACTTGTTTCCAGATAGACGAGCTCAATTCCGTAGTCTAAACTTGCTCTGCAAAACAAGGTTTCTGCAGTGTTTCATGCGCACAGAATAATGCTTAGGCTCTGTTTCATTCAGTTGTGCTAAATAAAGCATGACAGGCAGTTGCACTGTGGCCGTTAAAATGCTCTGCCTTGTGTAGCGAGTTCTGAAAAGGGAAAGTGTTCCTTCCATTCTTCTGCAGTCATAGCAGATGAGCAAAACTCACGCTAGCGATGGAGGTAAAACTAAGTCTCGACATTGCCACTTGCAGAAGCACAGCTGACCTAGTAATGCCCCTTAGCAAAATACTTGTATTCCTGTTCCTGTGTAGGACACCGTGAGCTTTCCTTGGAAACTAAGGACTCGTGAACAAGTCAAATCAACTGTATGTTAATTACATAGGACTGGTTCCTTGTTCAGTCTTAAAAAAATGTTTAGAGGTTGTGGTTTTTTTTTTTTTAATTTTCCCAGCTATCCTCAGCTTGCTTTCTACTTATGATATGCAAAAGCTGTGACCAGAAGTTCCAAAGCTCTTTATGAGTGTAATTCTTGTAAGACATCTGATGGGATTCTTCAGGAAGGTGTTCCTCCTCTGGTATTGGGGAAGGAATGTGTCTGCTGCTCAGAGTGCCAGTTTATTTAATGGAAAGCTCAGCTACCTTGCAAAAGTTTTGCCAAAGACAGATACTTGTTCCTGGTACCCGACTCAGAAAATTTTTTCAGAGTTAATCTTAAAGTATTCTTTAAGACAGCCCATTGTGCTGTAGCTGAAACTGTCCACCTGCTGCCTTTAAGGCTTTCTTGTCTTTCGCTTAATAAATTACTGTTCAATAGAAATAAACTTTCCTTCTGACAAAACTTAAGTTTTAGTGCCCTGCCGGTGTTGTGAGAAGGAATGGGTATTTTCAGAGAGCAGAAATGGACAGTGTAGTTAAAGATCTCTTAAATAATGATGGCTTTGCTACTTCAGAAGTTCGGTTCAATGCTGTGTGCTGTCCTTTTCCCAGAGATGGCTGTGACATTTAACAGTGGTGACTCTCCAACTTGTTTTGTATTTCACCAAAAAAACCCACCTGCAAAATCACCTTTCATGTGTAGTGTTTTGTGTTGGCTTGTTTAAGCCCTTTGAGAGCTGATTCAGACATTTGTGTCCCCCAAAATTTGTTGCCCTAATGTAGCTTTAAAAGGGGAAATTTTAATTAAAATTGCTAAAAAAATCTTCCCAAGGTTATAAGGTTTTTCTTTGTAGCCTTCTTTTTGATGAAGAAGTGTTGACACGAGAACGTGGCTTATTAGCTGTCTCCATCTGCTGGCAGAATGGAAGTGTGCTTTATTTGGCTGACCTTTCATGGAATTTAGGGACAAGAAGATGAGAAAAATGATACTAAATTTTCATGCAGAATTACTGGAATTGAGATTAGTGAATGAAAGAGAACAATTATTCTTGAAATAATTAATTCCAACAACAGTAAACCAATACTTAGGAATCTGGGTTTTTGTTGCGTTACATACTCTTCAACTTGGTATCCTCCTTATAGGCCAGATCTGCAAGGGTGCATAGCTGCTAAATAGTTTTGTGAGACTAGGCCTTTCATTTTTTTAAAACTGAAAACATCTTGCTTCCCTGCTTTTGTTAACGTTTCCACCATTGTTACATTTTGAAATGTAATGACGAACACAGTACTAGCTTTTACGCGTACTCGATTAAGTCAGGGGCTGTGTGAAGTTGTCCGTCATTAAATTATAAAAAATAGTTGGAGAACAATTAGAGGTTTATATTTGGTTTATTTTTAAAAACAGAACTGAAAAAACCCACCTTTGTCCCTTGCTTCAGGCCTTTTTGGCTTCTTCAGTAGAATGCATCAGAGTAGCCTTCTGGCTCCTTGCATGTTGGTACCAGAGCTACTTCATTTGGCCTTTTACTGTGATGCACAAGTACAGCTTTTCTGTAGCAAAACAAAACTTCTATTTCTAATTCTTTGTTATCTTGGTTCTGTTGTGTTTAAGAGTCAGCAATAGCGTAAGAAATTCCTGCTAAAGTTATCAGATAGGATTCTAAATTCACACATTAGAAGAGCTGTTTTTAATAAACCGTGTTTTGGAATTTAGAACTCTCTTTATTTTCACTATCTGGAATTTGTTCGTGCTCTGGTATTTCCTATATAGGAACCCAGGGCTTTGATTTAACTGGGAATAGCAATATTTTGATGCTGTTCTCTCCTTTCTACACCACCCCTAGCCCCTCCCTAGTTAGTACCTTTACAGGTGTGATGAGAAAGCTGCGTAACGTTGAAATGACCTCATCGAGAACTTGCCCTCTGTTGTTTGTGAACTGAATACACGCTGGTGATAATGAAACAGGTGCTTATATTGAAAATTCTATCATTGCAAAGCAGGTACAAAAGAGGAATCGGAACCCAGGGTGACATTGACTGGGGTTTGTATCATTCTCGGCATGGTTGCCCTTTTCTTATGAGAGGTTCCTGGAAAAGAAAGGGGAGGATGAAAATGGAAGTAAGTAAAAGCCGTTCTAGGTGTATAGATCAAGGCAGTTCATATCGAAGAAAGTGATTGTCTCCGTATACACACACGCACGCGCACACACACACAGCATGGTCTGCACCAGTTGAAAAAAGTTGAACTGGAGAGGTGCACATGGCCTCTGTGCTCTTCTGTCAGACCAATTTGTGATCAAATGCAGCATCCAGTTGCATGTTGACAGGTATTCACTGTCTAATAGGTAAATATTTGGAGAAGTCCTGCCACAATCTTCAACGATTGCTTTTTAAAAAAAATTTTTTAACACCACGTATAGTGGGGGTTACGCTCACGCATCATTAGCGTGTACCATTTGCCAATTTGAAATCCCCTTAAAAATCCATTGTCCTTAGTCTCTGCAAAAGTAAGACTTTTGGTTTTGTTTATGTACATATGGAAACCAAGGATGCATCAGTCCTTTGTCCAAATTTGGGAAACGCTTACTTTTGCAAGCACAACTCAAAACAAAGGAAAAAGAAATTAAATCGTTCTATTAATTTGCTTTGATAGTAAGTAAAACTTTCACGAAAATACTAGGCATTGTATCACCTAACCTACTATGCAAAATAACTGATGGACTTATCAGTGCCAGTGTGTAAACTTGTATATTTTAAGGCAAGCAATTTTTTGCTGTGATGGAAATGATTGACTTACTTACTTGGGTCAGTGGGGGGGGCAGAAGAGAGATGATAGTTCACAGAATAACCTGTGAACTTTCACCCCTCTATATGGAAACTTGTTTCAGGGTCAAATCCTTGTAGCTGCCTTCTTGCCACGGTCAATGCCAGCCCTACTATTCACAACACTGCGGCCATCGAGGCCTAGGTACGTAAACATTTAAGGAGTTTTTAAAGTTCTTTACATCAAAACAGATTTTTAAAATTTCTGTTTATAAGCTTTCACCATTTAACAACTATTATGTTAATGATGATTTGAAAGAATGTGAAGACTACTGCTGCTAAACTGTGTGGCTACGCGCCTTTTTTCCTTTTTAAAAAAGAATGAAAAGAAAAACCTGTATGTTTCATGTGGATTTTCAGAATAGAACTTGAATGTGCAACTGCTGTATAATAAAGTGGGGAAACTTTTTTTTTTTTTTAAAATATATTTAAAATACGCCTAAACACTATGTGAATGTCATTACTAAATGTGCTTGTATTTTGTTCAATAACTAGGTACACTTGGCACACATGTTGCCAGTTAAACAGTTAACACTGCCTCCTTTCACAAGATGAGAAGAGATGCATTGGAACCAAAGTAGCGTGTTTAAAAACGGACGGTTGTCATTTTATTAAATACATATGTCTGAGATGGATCACTTGCCACTTTTGGATTGCGTTAGAATTTTCTTAAGTTGTTCTTTTTTGAAAACATTGATTTGTGTCTCGTGTGTCTGCGTGAATTCTGGCTTATGCAAAATGTTAATGTACATAAAGATAAGGTGTATTTTTTTTAATTGAGTCTGTGAAAGGTTGTTAGAAACATTTTTTGGAAGCTCCTGCTTATTTTTTAGAATCTCAGTGCTAACTTTAGGACTTGTTTTACTTCTCTTTTTTTGGATAGGATCAGTTCTTAAGAGCAGCCCCTGTAACTGGAGGAATGGGAGCTCAACTGATGAGAAAAATGGGCTGGAGAGAAGGAGAAGGCCTTGGAAAGAACAAAGAAGGCAGCGTTGAGCCCATTATGGTCGACTTTAAGACGGATCGAAAAGGTAAACCCTTCTTTAAATGTCTTCTGGGAGCATGAACTTCTCACATGTGTTATGGAGATAGGCAAAATAACTTCAAAATGTGGAGCTTTTCCTGGGTACAGGTTTGCCGTAAGAATTAACGGAATGATGTGGATGTTTTTGGTTGTGGTTGTTCAGGCCCTGGATTACGTATGTAGGCTTTGTCCTTCTGCCTGTGAACTCTTCCAGGCGTTCTTTAACTTTCCCTAACCTTCACTTTCCATTTTAAAAAGTGGTTCTTAAATTAGGGATGTGCTTCATTTGGATGTATGGAGAAGGCACGGGCAGGGAAATGAATTGCGGAGAAGCCATTAGGGTTAGGGTTAGGGTTAGGATGGGGCAGGATAGAAGATGGAATAGTGAATAGTTCAGTCGTTAAACTGGGATGAAGGACACAGCTGAGAGCTACGGAGTTGAGTTGCTGCTGCCCTTCAGCTGAAGTCCTGGCAGAAGTAGATGGCCATACTGGTGGTTTTAGGTCTTCCAAATTGATTCTGTTCCCCTTTCCATCTGTCTGGTCCCCCCTGCCATTCCTTCTCCTAGTTCCATCCCGCCGCAGTCACCTCTGCTCAGCTACAGTGATGTTTCCACGGTTGTTTACAAAGAAAAAGAAACACCTATATGAGTTCTAAGCCTTTTAAATACAAGAGGCAGAATTTCAGCAGTCAAGACCTATGATTTAATTGTTCTCTTACACGTTACCAAAATAAGCAATTCAGTACTGACTGTGGGAAAACGAACTCTTTTTCTTCTAAATATTTTTTGAATACTGGGGACCTTTAGTATACTAACCAGTTCACATCTAGTATTAAAGCATGGAAATACTCTGTGAGCATTTGTCAATGATTGTAATAGAACTCAGAAGAAACAAAAAAGTATAAAATGCAAATGTTGCGAAGTTTGCTGCAGAGATGCTGTTGCCGTAGAGGGAATCTTTAGGTGCCAGAATCCCTTGTTCTCAATACAGAGGTAGTTCAGTACTGCTCAAGTGTCCAAGCTAGCAGTGAAAATTGAACTTTAAATGTTTAAATTATAAGAGGTAGAAAATGAGAAGACAAGCCTATGTTATGAAAACAGCCATCGCTTTCTAAATTATAAAGACCTTCTTAGCAGCATAATACGGTTTTATAAATAGAGAAGTGCAACAGCCTGAAAGTACGGAACACAGTGATACAGACATTGCTGTTTAATCGAACAATAATGAAACTTACTTTTCAGCTGTTTTTCTTCTGTTCGACCTTTCCGTTTAAAGAAAGAGAGAAAGACAGAAAGAAAGAAAGAAAGAAACAAACAAACCCAAACCAACAAACCTGGCAGAGTGATTGCTAAACAAATGTCTGAAAAATATTTTGTTACTGTTAGTTACTGCGGTCTTTGTAGATGTTGTCTTGTGGAGTTCTCACTCTTGGTAAGAGTTCCTTTAGTTTAGCTTGGTTAATATCAGTCAGAGGGGAGAAACTGAAAATGAGTAATGTCCGTATTGTGTTCTCAAGCAGCCTGCATAACCTAGTAACAGATTTCTGTGCGGAGGAGGAAGGATTTAGCTCGGTTCGTTTTGTTGCACGCTTCCTGTCAGATTCTAGGGAAAAGGCAGTGCTGCTGCACAACCATGCACATTTTCAACATTAAAAACACCGTGGTGATACAGAGCTGTGTCACCACTCTGGTTTCTGGTTCCAGCAGTGGTTTCTGATAGAAATTTCCTTAACGCCTGCAGAATTTGACACCCACAATTTAAGTATCCAGCCCTAAGCCCTGAGACAGGATGAGGTCCTTACTGGGCACTCAGTCTTCAACAGCAATTAAAAGCATTAGATGGAGTTAAAGTAGGCCTCTTCCTGGCATGCGATAGATTCATCCGAAAATACTCATAACCTTAGTGTGATACCTGGGCTTTGCTTTAATTTTTAAAAATATTTGACTATTATCCTATATGCAGTCTTACCTGATAATTTCCACAGAAAATGTGAAGGTGTTCTGTGTTGATAAAGAATACTTCTTAATGTTGAACCAACCAAATCTATGATACAGGGAGATAACTTGTGTTATGAGGAAACGTCATGTTTCATGGATTACAAAGAAACAACTGAACAGTAATTATACGTTTATTAAGAGGGGTTTTTTTTTCTTTGATGGAAATCTTTTTGTGGGTTTTTGATAGAAAATTCTGTAATGGAAAGAAAAAAAGCCCACTTTGTTTCAGTGATTGTTGTCTCTGAGAGTTTCATGCTATTGAGAAATCTCTGCCTAGGAGCTGCATTAATATTAGGATGAAAATCTGGTAAGGAGGGGAGGGCTTTCTTTTAAAGCGAAACAAAATAAAATGCCAACTAGAAAAAAAACTAAAGGAACAGGAAGAAACTGGAAACAGTTGCAATAGCTCCTTGTCTTTATTCACCAAAGCCAGGAACAGAACGAAGTTGAGGTAAGAAACAAAGTAATATTAAAGCTTGAAGTCTGAGAAATTCTGAAAAAAACACATCAGGTATTTTATTTACATATGTCCTGGATTGAGAGCACCAGGATAAAAGTTGCCTGGTATTTTAGGTAGTGGCAGAATGAATGACAGGAAACTTAAGTCACTCTGTAAGCATGGTGTGGCTACTGGCACATGGTAAACTTTTGGCAACTGTTACATGTTATTTCTTACTCTTGTAAGATTTTACAAAGAGAAACTTCAGCTTCCAAGGTGACTTCTCTTGGAACTTGTGCTCTGAGTATTGGCTTGGGGCCCATTTGCACGTGTTTCTGCTACTTTACGTGCAGATGTGGCTGAAATCGCAGTGATTGGACTGTGAACTTGCACATAAAGGATGACTGCTTTGAATACTGTTAAATAGAGCACATGTTATAAGAACACTACAGTGTTAATCATATCATAAAAGGACATACTACATATGCTTTTTTCCGTTTTAATGGAGACACTTCAAATACTTGGTATGTTAGAAGCAAACTGTGAAGGTAGTGAAGGACTTGCCCAAGACAAGTAACTGAATGAGAGAACGTTTTTCTCTCTTGTTCAGAATTTCTCTGAAGAAGGTGCAGAAAACCAGGTGTTGCTTACTTGCATATAAAACTGCTCAAAGTTTTCTACTACCTGGCTTGTTAAGAGCCTTACTAGAGCAGTTGAGAGCAACGTTACATGTAGTATGGAAGGGATGAAAGAGAGGTTTGAAAACCTTCTGAAAAGACAGTTGTGTGGGATCTCCGGGTTTCATCTCCACTCATGCTTGTTCCTGCTTTGCTGACAAGAATACAGAAATGAGGTGGGAGTCATAAACGTCACCTTCTGTTGTGTTTTGTTTAGGGCTTGTTGCTGTGGGAGAGAAGGCACAAAAGAGATCTGGACATTATGTTGTGATGAAGGATCTTTCAGGTGAGATTCTTACTTTTCTAAAACAAATAATCCCATTTAAAACGATGGCTTTGACAACAGTGTTGACATTTCCCATACGTTTTCTCTTCAAGGTAAACATCCGGTTTCTGCGTTGATGGAGATCTGTAACAAAAGAAGATGGTCACCACCTGAGTTTGTGTTGGTGGATGATAGTGGGCCTGATCATCGCAAACATTTTATCTTCAAGGTGCGTTTGAGTTTCCTTGTTTGCTGCTGGTTTCTCTGTTAAAGAAACAGAGATGTAAATTCTTGTTTATGTTCATATATCAACAGAAGAGCCACCTCAGAGGTGGCTGAGGACTGCCAAGCAGTGTCTCTGGTAAAATTTCCAAGTCCCATTTCTTCAACGGCCAAATTGGATCTCACAAGGGCATTGATCTGTAAATCCATCAAGAAACACACTGTTCCACTTCTTGCTATAATTATTAACCTCCATGTTACCACGTTCTCGCTGTTGACTTGCTGGCGTGGTGCTAAGTCTTACTGTTGTAAAGGTAGTAAGCAAGATCTAGTTCTTTCTGCCTGTTGGTTGTCTGACGATGCCAGGCCTTCTTTTTCACCTAGTGTCACGCTTAGCAGTTGGCTGTTTGGAAGTGTTTATGCTTACAGACCATACGTGGATCTTGTCTCCCCCTAAAGAGGAATTATATAGAGGGTGTGCTTAAAGGAGCAACGCTGCACTGCCTCAAAAGGAAAGCACTTCCTAACTGTTTTTTCTTTGTACCTCCCCTTCTTCTGTAAACAGGTGAGAGTCAATGGAAACGAATACAGGCCCACTTTTGCCAGCCTTAATAAGAAGCATGCTAAAGCCACAGCAGCAACTGCGGCTCTCCAAGCGATGGGACTTGTACCAAAGGAAAGCATGGTTAATACCACCATGTTTAGGAGTGCCTCACACCGCTAGATATTGTTTTTTATATTGACATTATTTCAGATAATTAAACTCTGCACAAGAATAAAAAAAGAAGAAAAATGGTATTTGCCCTTTCATGTTGTAAATACATTGGCAATTCCCACGTTGTAAAAACTGTACAGACACCTTCAGGTTTTTCTTTTGTACCATCAAAATGTATTTAAATCATACTTAGTTTTTGGTATGTTTATATTGTTTACATTAGTGATGTAATTATTTCTTAAATGACTAAATCAGACGACAGACTCTGGAGGCATCAGTAATCTAAACCCTTGTTTGAAAACTCATACAGTTTCTCTTCAATACGGAATGTTAACACTTTCATACTGTTTTGTACTATGCTGCAGTTTTCCCTGGTCTCGGTAAAGCTGCTCGCGCGCTTTTGCCGACAGCCGGTACAGAGTGCCGCAGCTTTCCTTAGTCTAGTTGAGGCTGGTGTGTACCGCCGGACAGGTACCGGGCCAGCGCCGCAACCCCCGCGAGAAGACACGCGGCGGTAGCCCTGTTGTGCAGCGTCACCGCCGCGGCTTCTCTTCGCATTTCCTTTGGGGGTTTAGCTTGGCGGCACGGCGTGACTGGCCCTGCGACAGCCTGCGCTCTGGGACACATGTGACAAAGCGAAAGACTTGCTTCCAGCAGCGTGGTGGAAAGTCCAGCGATGGAACTGGTGAGACTCGCCACCTAAAAGTGACGCTCCCTGCATGTTCTGAGAAGGGAGATGACGGAATTGTCTGTTCCGAGCAAATTAACACACTGCCTGATGTTGATTGTACGAATTTGTGGTTAATGTGAATTATAAACTCTTTAACAAAATCTGCAACTGGATTCGGGGGGGGAGGGAGGGGATAGAATGACGCTTAAATTGTTGTACCCAACTTGGTCAATAAAGCAGCACAAGTTCATAATCTTAATCACTGGTCAGTAAACAGTAATTAAAATACATGCCAAAAGAACTTTTTTAAGAAACGCACAGTATAAAAATACACTTTGTGGAGATTATCAACAGCTCTTAGGGCTGCAGAACCAGTTCTAGTCATTTTAGCTTGCTTTGGACTATTAGCAAATTAACTCCTTGGGCTTAAATTTGCCGTAATGGTACTCTGCCCTCACGGAGACAGCCTGATCCAGAGTTTTGGCAATTTGACAAGGGAGAGGATGTAGAAAGCTTTTCCTTCCTTTATTTGTTTCTTCTCCTTTTTTTTGTTATTTAAGAAGTATTAGTACCTTAGCTATGTGCACTTTGAATTGGAAAGGGCATTGTACACTGCTTGCCAGATTTGTGTGAGTTAACGAGCAGATTGCCAGGATTTATGGACTCCAGTAGTTCAGGTGGTTATTTCAGCAAAGTCTTTTTGAGGTCTTTCTGTGTTACATCTTACTGACCAGAGCTTCGGCTGGGACAGGAACAGTACAGCGTTTGTACGCAGCAAGGCTCTGCTCAGGCCTGAAGTGAATGACCTTTGCAATGGCAGTAGGAACGTGGAGATGAGGAATTACTAGGACCTCTTCTTCCACAAAATAAGTTGACTCGTGTGTATTCTGTCAAATGTTACGGAACAAGGTGTCTCTTTTTGCCCTAAAGGGACAAGGCTCAATGTCTCATGTTGTGTACAGGAGAGAAATGGTATTTGGTTCTCCACCAGACGCTTCTTAGAAATAAAGCCCCTTTTTCGTCTGTCAAAGCGCTCTAGAAATGCCGAAGTTAATATTAATGGACATAGTTTTTGTAATATTAAACTTTTCTCCCTTTGGCTTCTCACCTTCAGTCTCTGACTAAGTATTTGAAGATCTCCTTGCCTCATTTACTGAACTAGTTTGGAAGGTGTATGTGAAAAACAAATGTAAATACAATGGTACAGCAATGGGAAGATCCGCCCTGGGGGAACTGGTTGTTGTATCTGTCTCAGCTGAAGTCTGGCTTTTTGATGTATGACTTAATGAACTTGGGATGTGGGAGCAGCTCCTAATCAGACTCCTCTTTTAAATGTCTCTCAAACATCAGAGGTATGTCGATCGTTCTATTTAGTGTGTGGTGTCTGCTGGTTTCACAGCTGGACAGTGTCAAATCTGGGAACATGCAATGTCTTGTACTCGTTATTTTGTTATTTTTTGGGGGTCTGTATTCCTCATGTACGATGTAAAGATAACGCGTTATCTCGCAGCAGCCAAGAGCAGGTAACTACCATCCCACTGATGACTCAATTTAAAAAAAAAATAGCTAGGCAAGTTCTGGATTTCATGCCTTAAAGATGTAGCACTGTATGTGGGTTTAACCTTTGGTTTTAGGGAAGACGTACAAAAAAAGAGGAAACATTGACGGTCTATAATGCCCTGATTATGACACTTCTTGATTTTGAGGTTTCTGTTTTCATTTCATTCCTTGTTTAGAATGATACATGAATCTAAAGCTAGTGCAGCGATGTACTTGTGTTAAATTTGTACATTTGAATTGGTTTGAGTGTCCTTTGCATGCAGGAATAGATAAGTAGTGATATATTAAAAGGAGAAACAAGGAAACACTCTTGGAACCTGGTTATTTATACAGCACTTCAGCTTTCTTAAGGGTGCATAGTCTCCGAGTATGGATGGAAGGAAGACATGATCTGTTCGGCTGATGGATTTCCTTTTGCTGCAGAGCTATTTGTAAAGAAGTGATCTCGCTCAAAGTGCTTCTGACTTCCCTGGCACATGAGGGAGGAGCATTTTGAAGCAAGTATCCCAGAACGTGTAGCCAGCTTCTGCCACAACGATTTCTTGGTGCTCTTCTAATTCGTAGCTTTTGAATAGTTAGGACTGGAGGAGCAGGAAGGTGATGTTCCTGTGCCTCAGAAAATCTGAAATTGCCCCTAAAAGTGCAAAAACTTAACTCCTGCAGTCTCTAGCTCTCCAAAAGTTGGGATGAAAATTCACCTACATGGGCAGGTTGAAAGATTTTCCTGCTCAATAGGCATCAGGAATGACGGTAGTCTATTTACTGTAAGTACCTTTAGGTGGAAGAGCAGCAGCCCACATAGCGTAACTAGCTTCTATAGGGAAGGTTCATCGGAGCCAAACGTGCTTGAAGAACTTCACTGAACCCCGGAGCTGTGAGCAGCTGGAATAGGTTTCTGAAATTACAGGCAAAGCTGTGACTTGAACCCAACAGTTTACAGTACAAGAAGGAGCTACAGTTCAGCAAAACACATAAAAGAATTTGGTGGTGTATTTTTGAAATTATACAGTTCTATTTTTGAAATTATACAGTTCTAGACTATAAGAATGTAGTTGCAATTTTTTATTACTTTCTTTTTTTTAAATGACTGCAAGCTATTACTTGGTGTGTCTCTGTAAATCTCACATGCTAGATATGAAAATACAAACTGGTCAACAAACAGGCAGGCTCAGGTCCATGTAACAGAATGGTTGCTGGCTTTTTTAAAAAGTGGTTTTCCACAGAGGCAGCTGCAGAATTGCTTTTTCCTGTTGCTTTCTCTGTCTTGTTCTGTGTGCTCACACGCTGTGGGCAGGCCCGTTCCTCCATCACGCACTGGGAAGGTGCTGCCTGTTCCAGATGGAGGGGTGGTGGGCGCCAAGTGCGGGCGCTGCTCTCCGAAGGGTTCATCCCGGTGATTCCCTTCGGTGTGCTGACCCGTGGCGGTGGGCTAAGGGCTGCTTCATGGCAGGTGGCAGAACTGGAGAGCAGCAAAAGGCTGTGAGTGATGGCGGCAGGCAAGGCAGGTAAAAAAGGCATTAACTGTTAGGCTCTTAAGAAGTAAGTGGAAGGGTAGTTAAACCAGCTGCTTTAGAAACCCGGTCTTTGTTATTCCCCATGATGCTGTTAGCACTGGCTTTTCACTAGCTGTCTGATACTAATCAAAGGGGGAAAGTTCATTAATTTGCTTCTAGATTAGTCAGGGAGAAGTGTAAAGATTAATTAAAATCAGGTTGTACTACCCTGAACTCCACCAGAAATGGTATTTGACATTATCCAAGTATTTAACATTTTAAAGTGCCTTTTACATCCTAAGAGGGACTTTCCCGTTACCTGGATTTTCTAGATGTTGTCTTGTTCAGCATACCACTAGGCTGATGGTGTCCTGGCAGTCACTGTCCAGTAACAAACGCTGACATAAAGCATTCCAGTGTAATTGTATACCCAGTGTGTTCTTGGGGGGGGATACCTCTAGTGGTGTCAATATAAAGTTAACTGGAAGGCACAGGAAGCTTTCAGTATGCCTCAATCTGCTGTAACTTCCTCACGTGCTCGTATTTCTAAGTTCCTACATTGTTTCCTTCAGTCAGACGTTACTCTTTCAGCATCACAGATTTTGAGGTGGGGAGCAGAACGGTGTGGAATGGTCACCTGAGGGTAGGTGACCACGTGGCATGAGCAGTGGTTTATTTTCTGTGCACGCTTGAATTTAGAAATCTTGCTGGAGTGCACAAGCTTGGTGGTGTTCTACATCTTGCCCTTCAGAGTCAGTGTTCCTGCTGCAGGACTCTGCTCTCCTGAGAGCTGTGTGAAAGGCAACTCCAAAACAACAGCTTTGACTCCTCTACCTGAAGTGAAACCAACTGCATTACACCTGTTGATAGACCCTACCATTGCTATCAACAGTCAGATCAGCAGCTTTTCTCTGTCTTCAAGCAGGTGGCATAACTATTTTACTGCTCCAACTTGTTCTGGTTCAGGATATGATTCAGGGTGAAGTTCATACAAACTGCTTCTTAAAAACCTAGCTCATTTTAACATAACTGGCTCTGGGAATACTAGACAGCTATCCTGAGAAGTTCTGAGGAATCTTAACCTTTAATCTGACTCAGCTGCGGCCAGAACTCCTTGCTTGCACCATCTGACTTTCATCGATGTCGAGTTCAGAGCTGACTCTAAACCAAGAGGTGCAGCGTACCAAGGTGTAGCTATCGAACTTCTGGCAAGGTGCCACAAGCAGTCTTGGAAGGCATTTTGCCAAGAGTTCCACCTGTCCAAACCGAGTAAGTTAGGAATTACCGCACAGAGCAGTAGCAGAAATTCTGTACTTCAGAATAGAATTTGCATGTGCATGAAGAATACAAACCTTCCGGACGCAAGTCAGACCAGTAAAACAGATAATCATATTTTACTAAGTTTTATTTTTAAAAGGCTTTCTAAAATACAAAAGGAGATGTGCAAGTCCTTTTCCTCAATTTCCTTTAAAAGTCCTTTGAAGTGTTTTATGACGGGTAAATGTGCAATAGTTGTTTGTCTGTGATGTTCTACTCGACGGTGTCCTGGTACTGCGCAGGTGCTGCCCGTGTAGATGCACGTGAAGTACAGCGACTGCGCGCTAGAGAGCATTGTTCTCTTCCATTAAATGGAACTGGCATTCTTAGGACTGCCAGGTGTAGGTGTAATCCTTCATTTCTAGAAATCGGATGGAAGATTTTCCCAGTGTTGGACACTGGCTCAGTTGATCCACAGTCTTAGGATGCAGTCCATACTGAGAAAGATCTCTGCATACAGTTTCCTGTGGGAATTCACATGAGGAAGAGAGAGATGGAATAGTTTTTTTTCTCTTTGAAATATAACTGTAGTTCTTAATGTTGGTTTGTGTACTTTTGGGGAACTCCCAAAAAGCTATTGTTTTCTGATGATTCCGTTTCTGCAGGAACGGCAAACCACAAGAACTGCCAGGTGGTGATGACAAGTAATTGGGTGTAAACCCATGTGTCAAGGGAAAGTTTTGTGTCCCTCAGTGTCCTCTGGTTTGTAATAAAGATACTATTCTTAACAGGAAAGATTGTTTCTGCTACTTTCCTTACCTTATTCAAGGCAGGGCTCGCGTTGTCGAGGTCAGTGTTAAACACGGCGGTTGGCTCGTGCGTGTGTAACATGGCAGAGAATGCTCCCCTCTGCGCAGGCCTGAGCAGCATCGTCAGCAAATGCAGGGAATGAGGCATGACAGGACCTACGACCTCCAAACTGAATATATCCTCGTACCCCAAGCGCACCCTGGCTTTGGCGTTTGTACTTCGAGCCTGAAAGACAAGAGCACGTATGATCAGTTTTGGACACGCCCAATCAAGCCCTAATTTTCAACTACTTTAGTATTACTAAAAGTTCAAAATACTTTTTGGTATTGTCAGCTTACTGTTCGATATATGAACATTACAATGGTTTTTACTGTCTTTTTTAACAGCTCCTAAAACATGCCAACAGGGATACACAGGAATGCTATACAGCAGTAAGAAAGTTGACTGCAGGAGGACAGTATGAATTGTTTGAGACCCTGCAAGATCTCGGGTGAATCTTTTAAGAACCGTTTCAGTATCTGAAAAGCCTGCTTCTTCTGTTTACCCGTATGTGAAGGATGGAAATACCAGGATTCTGGTTTAACAGCACAGACCTATGTGGATAGAGCTGAGTCAGGAGGCAGTCTGCAGTGCAGCCAAAATGCTAAAGCAAAAAACTTATATGTAAACTATACAAGGGTATAGATCGAAGAAACAACTTTCTTTTCTTTATTAGAAAACAGACAGTTGCGTCACTTACTTTGAGTGTTTGCATTGTTCCACCTCGGAAAGCAACAGGGGCCAACAACGTTGGTGGAAGCCCTGCTTGTGGACCCGCAACAGCCACGAGGCTCTTACAGTTTATCAGGAAGTTTAGCAAGGTGATTGTATTTGTTCCCTTCACTAATGCAACGGATTCCGGCCTGTGATCCATCTGCACCTCATTTTTCTCCTTACGGCTGCCAAGACTGGAGTCAAAGGAAGACCATGAGGAAGTGAAAAACATCAACACATCAAAGGATCAGAGCAGTGCGACGCCAGAAGAAAAACCCCCTCTGACCAATCAAGTCAGTTAAACAAACAAAACAAAAAAAACCCCACCAAGCTTTACAGTGATTCAGATTAATTCTTCAAATACTAAGCAGCGTCTTAAGCCTGACTTCTGATTTCATTATTAAAAACCTTAGGTGCTCCAAGGGCAAATGAAACCAGAGGAAGAGTTAATAGCTCCCTCTGAAACATGTACAGCTGTTCTGGTCTACAGCTGTGTCCCTGCCATGCCACACCACTTCCAAGTCTAAACCTAGCCTACGTGAATATATACCCTTTCTTTAAAAAGACAGAAAAATCTAGTCCTTCCAGTGAACCTCTACGTGAGGCAACACAATCTGTTTGTGACCACATGGATCTGAGGTGGCTTAGATGGATTTTCCTTCAAAAAGAAAAGCATCTAGGAATACTTGTCACAAATTAAAAGAAATGCAGAGTCTCTTAATATACAGTGATGTGAGGATTAGTATTTGGAAGTTCTCTAAAGGTTTTAGAAAACTTAAATGTGTACCACAAAGAGGTAACATCTGCATGGTTTTCCAGTGTTACACATCGTGATGTGCAAGGAAAGGATACAGTTTAATAGAAATAGCATCTGGTTTCTTAACCTTGTCTTGGACTCCCATCTCCTCAAGCCAAGAGAAACTTTCATCATCATCTTCATCACTTGGAGCTGGTTCCCTGGGAAACAATCAGAGTTAGGAGGGCAATACTTCCTTCTTACAGAAGTTTTCCAAATGAAATGTGCAGGAGGCTGTAGATGCCTGTGAATTCTAGCACTGGAGAAGACTCGTTACATACTCTCCACCTTCCATGCCATTGCCTGCTTCGAGGCCGTTAGCACCTTCTGTTTCCAAATTGACTTCAGAGTTTCTCTGTTTTCTGGCTCTACTTTCTTCTACCAAAGGTAAAGAGAATTCTATGCCTTGAACAGGAGAGGAAAGAAAGCAATGAGTGGCTTGGTGACAGAACTAACGCACTATAACTGTTATTCGAATCCTAGCTGGACTAGTTTCACCTCACCTTCATTTCTCATGGCTTCCCTCAAACCTCTCGTCGTGGGAGAAATGACAGCAGTGATGACATTGCTCCCTGCAAGCCCAGCTGCACGGAACAGGACGGTAAACTGGTAGGTACACACATAGAAGTAGGGACACAGCTTGGCTTTGAGCAGATTGTAGAGAGAAGTAAAGCTGACAGACCTGCAAATGAGAATAAAACAAGTCACTCAAGTTAGTTCTGCGTTATCAACACAGCTGGCTGGATTTGGCAGGGGGTTGGTGATGGGATGCTGCACAGGTTTGAGAAGGTATTCAGTGATGAGCCATGTTTTCAGACGTGCTTGACACACTGAAGAGCTGTGCTCCTCTGAAACGCAGCCTCTTTGTGAGCACTCTGCTCTGCCAGCGTGTGTCCAGTTTTGGGCTCCCCAATTCAAGAGAGACAGGGACCTACTGGAAAGTCCAAGGAAGAGCTAAGAGGATGATCAAGGGGCTTGAGCTACGAGGATGATCAAGGGACTTGAACATCTCTCCTATGAAGAGAGACTGAGAGAACTGGGGCTGTTTAGCCTTGAAAGGAGATGGCTGAGAGGGGACCTTATGAACGTATATAAATATCTGAGGGGTGGGTGTCAAGGAGAAGGGGACAATCTCTTCTCAGTGGTGCTCAGCAACAGAACAAGAAATAATGGATTTAAGTTAGAACATAGGAAGTTCCACCTCAACATGAGGAGCAACTTCTTTACTCTGGGGGTGACGGAGCCCTGGCACAGGCTGCCCAGAGAGGTTGTGGAGTCTCCTTCTCTGGAGACTTTCAAAACCCACCTGGACGCGTTCCTGTGTGGCTGCCCTAGGGGATCCTGCTCTAGCAGGGGCGTTGGACTAGATGATCTCTAGAGGTCCCTTCCAACCCCAAACATTCTATAATTCTATGATTCTTCCTACAGTGCGTGCTGTGAAGCAAACCCCGCTGGAGCATGCTCTCTCAGAGTTATGTGCTTTGTAACACGTGGGTTGACATTAAGCATCAAAGGCAACCTGCTAACAGGATTTAAGGAATTCCACTCAAATCAATGACCAGGATTGGAGATGGGCATTTAACACAAGAAGGTTGCTTTAGTCTTGTATTTCCTGAACCTGGTCCTCAAAGTAATGAGCATTCCAGATGGAAAAAAAACAACTTAAAAAGCTGCCTCATAAAAATGGAAAGGACTTGGGCATTAATCAAAATCCCACTGTCTTAACCTTATCGAACACATTAGTTATTTGGTTCCACTTACCAGTCACTCATTAGCATTTGTTGCAAGGCTTCATCCTGTGACCACGGACTGGCCTTCCCGACTATTCTTCTGTCTGCTCCAATCCGAGGGAACAGCTGCAGCCATGGCAGCGAAGGGGGGAGCCAGTAAACGGGGCTGGGGTAAAGCCAGTAAACGAGGCTTTGCTGGAAGGCACAACGCAGTTCCGTTGACAGTTTTGGTTCCTAGATGTTGAAAAGTATTTTGTGAGGACAGTAATGCTTTACTTAAGGCAGTGATGGATTAAAAAAACTACATCAGATACTAAAAAAAACAAACCTGGGCTTGTGAATAAGCCAAGCTAAAGAAAGATGGCAACTGCTCCAGAGCTGAAGTTAAATGACCACTCACTGCTGTTTGCTACTACAACAGTAGCAAACTTATTATTAATAATATTTATTATTATTCTTAATGCAAGACCAAAATAGAAGCAAGCTTTCACCACCAGCACCTTTCAGAAAAGGTGTGAAGGTAAATTATCCTCTCTAAAGCTGAAGTTTTGGGCTATCCTCCAAAATATTACCTCTATGCTCTGTGGCAAGTTTACTTCTGTAGCTCTGCAATGCTGAGTAAACCCTTGAGCTTCTTCTTGTGCTTTTAAATGCTCTGCCCAGGTAAAAGGTTGGGAAGACATAAATAGAGCTCGTGTTTTAATGCTCCAGTCTGCAGGAAATTCATGTCTTGGTGAGGAGGGAACTTCAGGTGCAGCAACAGGTAAATGAAGGTCCTTACAGAACAGAAATAGCAGAAGTTAACCCACAGAAAATTAAAAACAACAACTATGTAGCTGCCTATTCACAGTATAGTATGGTCAGGTCTCTTCCTGTGTTGATTTAACATATTTTCCTGGCAGTCAGATCAGATACTCAATTACAGCTGTTACATGTAAAATCTTGAGATTAGTAGCCTATAAAAAGACAAGTGAAACCTGGCGCCTCCTGCATGTTTTTTACCCAATTTAGCGCAACAGCGAAAATGCCTAGTTTGTTTTGATCCTAAGGAAGTACTTGCATTAAGTTAAGAAATATCCCAAAAAAAAAAAGCTTTTAGAGATAGATTTTCTAGATTCCAAGTTATAAAGGGTTTGACTGTCTGTAGGCCAACCAAAGTTATAGTTTACACTCAATTGATTATTTTAGTCAGTAACAGATTCTAGTAGAAACACAGCATTATATTTCTTACAAAAATGCAGAAGAGGGTTTTCATTCAGAGGGGTCTTTCCAAAAGTCAAAAACTAGGAAGAGATATAAGGATGAATGATTAAAAAAACAACCAAAAAAATCTTAGCCTTTAGGTTATGAAGACAAGATTTTCCATGGCAAAAGTTATTTCATTTCATCCTCTCATGGCGATTGTAATGTCAGATGCTTCCCGGAGGATGCAAAAAACCCACTGGGGAGCTCTAGGAACACACTGTTCTCTTTGAGATATCATTTTTCTACACTGCTAAGTTAGTTTGAACTTAAGTTTCAGAACCTGTAACAACGTTAGATGCTGTCTGCTTCAAACTCTTTTAAGGACAGGTTTTCAGGTCCTCTCTTTTCTACGTGCCTTGTGAAGTTGTTTGTTCCCTTTCTATAGCTGAATAAAAGACTGCAGGAGAAACATCACTTGCAAGAACACCCTTAACAAAATATAAAACTGAGAAACAGGAGAATTGTAGCAAACATGGTAATAAAACTGGAAGGCAGTAACATCTGGCAACTAGAACTACAGCAGTAGCAATGTCAGGCTGAAGGCTGGCTTTTCGGAGAGTGTCACCACAAAAGACAACATCAGCGCAATTTATGAAATTTTCTTGAACGCTGGAACCTTTAGTACACCATGTTATACAGAGACAGACCATCAAACAGTTCTAGCTTTTTTTCTTTTTCTGTGAACTGAGAACACCCAAAACCGTTTCAGAAGCTGCACACACAGTCCCGTACATCAGCCAGGGCGAGGATGTCGGTTCTGTCAGAGGGCTCTGCTCTGCTGCTGGGCTTCCCGTCACAAACAGGCTCTAAAAGCTGAAATAAAAACAGGAGCGTAAGATGCAGCACAAACCAAGAGTGGCTCTAGGCACGACCACCCCGCAAACACCCCCTCTGCGACGCGACCAAACCTTCGCGCTGCAGTGCGGCAGCTCGGTCTC